TATGGCATAACTAGTGTTGTCACTAATTGCCTGTGGTACCAGAGCGATGTGGCTGTAGAAAGAGGGGAGAAGAGGAATCGTCCCCTCTTCCCCCCTTCCTTCTTCAATCACCTTGGAACGCCAGCTGAAGTCACTACAGGGTTCAAGCGATGGACACTAGCAAAGTTCCACCTAGTCACCACTACTATGATGCATACAAAAGGGGTGTGGGTGTGTGGTGAGTGCCATTCCTTGTCCCAAGGCTACCTGACCTCAGAGAATACAGAATGGCTGTATAAACAGTTGTGGTTAGTTCTGTCTTGGAACTATCCCAACTACCAGCATGACCCCAAGTTTGTAATTTGTTCTAGATTCTTGGGGCAACTCCAGACTAATCCGTTACTTTTTAAAATGCAATTCAAAGCAGCCTAGAACCACATTTAACCCAAATCAGCTCCATGAATCATACAGCCACCACTCTTATCCACTTTCCTCCTGCATGATAAGGGTTCAGTGTAGATCTGCCCCATGTGGGTATTCCTAAAATCTGGACAATATGCTATGCATGTGATGGTAGGAGCTATACTGCAGGAGGACTTGTATTAAAACAAATATGAACTCTGATGCCTTTACTTATTTATTTGTCATGTCAGGGCAACCAGTCAATTGTATTACATTTCTAACAGAACAAAACAAACAGACAAAATACAAAATTTGCGAGTTTGGTAGTTGATTAAATGTCCTTTGACCAGTTTCTGGCCACTTGGAGTGCTTCTGTTGTTGCTGCAAGAAGGTCCTCCATTGTGCATGTGGCAGGGCTCAGGGTGCATTGCAGCAGGTGGTCAGTGGTTTGCTCTTCTCCACACTCGTATGTCAAGGATTCCACTTTGTGGCCCCATTTCTTGAGGTCGGCTCTGCATCTCGTGGTGCCAGAGCACAGTCTGTTCAGTGCCTTCCAAGTCACCCAGTCTTCTGTGTGCCCTGGGGGGAGTCTCTCATTTGGTATCAGCCATTGGTTGAGGTTCTGGGTTTGAGCCTGCCACTTTTAGACTCTCGCTTGCTGAGGTGTTCCAGAGGGTGTCTCTGTAGATCTTAGAAAACTATTCCTATGCCTTTACTGCAACCATACTATCATACTAGCCCTTAGGGAAGCAAACATTCATCCTACCACTGTTCAGCTAGAATGCATCATGGGATTATATTCATTCACCTTATTACAGAGAACTTTCTAAGCTTTACCTTGGAACTGAGTAAGAATGAAAAATCTGACTGTGGTATTAATCTGTGATAGCTCTGTATAATATATATATGACAGCTAACAAACAATAAAAATGTACCAGCACTCTTAAAGCTTTTAAAATCCACCAGAGTATTTGAAATATTTTAGTTATATTTGCACACAATCTTTTCTACAAAGACCATAGAGAGAGATGTTGTTTTCTCTTCTTTTTGTAGTCATCACTGCATACAGTTGGGCTTCTGTATCCATACATCCTGTATCCATAGATCCCAACATCTACAGCTGAAAAATGTTTCTCCAAAAATCGTAAAAATAAACCTTGATTTTGTCATTTTATGTATGGGATACCATTTTACTACATCACTATATCTATAATTGGACTCAAGCATCCATGGATTTTGGAATCCATAGAGGATCATAGAACCAAACCCCAGTGGATACCAAAGTCCCACTGCAGTTTCATGTTTTAAATTATGGTATTGAGCCTGTTGTAAAAAAAAAAATGACATTATAGATGTCATTTCAGGTTGATTTAAAAAAAAAGATTAGAAGTATGATTACGAAATAAACTTTTTTCCAGTCTTGACACCACCTCCTTTTATGTTCACAATGAAGTGGGAATGTACGTCAAGCTTAGGGATATTGACTAAATTAAAGTCATCAATAGAATTGGAAGTGTAAGGCTGAATGGAATCCTTGAACAATATATTAATCCATAGTCCAAAGGGAGAAAATAGTTTTTTGTTGTTTATAGTCATCCCCCCCCCCCAAAAAAACCATACAAAACAGACCTTTTTAATATATAAAGTGACTTTGCAAGGCTACTGTATGCTGTTTTGTGAGACCCCCTCCCAAAGTCGAAAAGGAAAAGAAACTGAATAGCGCAAGGTAAGACCAAGGACTAGGGAAAATTCCTTGTCCTTGTCTTCACCCACGCAGTCTGCATGGAGCCTGCCAGATGATGCATATCCACTTCCAGTGGGACTCTGTGCTGGCTGCATCAGTTAATTGTAGTAACATGGAGCAGTCTGAACATGGGAGTTACCCGTGTTCAGACAGAAAATCATGGGGACAATGCTGGTGCACGCCAAAAAGGTATACTTTCTGGCATGTGATGGGCAAGTGGGTGATACAGGTTGCTGGGCAATGGATTTGCCCTGCTGCCCAACTATTGGCCCCACTGTCCCCCACATCACAGACCTCAATGTGATGAGGTCATAAAAGTGACACATGTCACTTTAAGTTACTTAAAGTGACAAATGCAGTGGTACAGCAGTGGACCCCTGAAGCTCTGGAGGAACCAAAAACTGGTTGGTACAGCTCTGTGGGCTTTGGATCTTGCCCACCCCTGCCTCAGACCAACACTTTGTACTATACAGTTATGACTCTTCAGTCCAATATACAGCTATGATAAACCTCAACATGTAGACTATTGTCAATTCAAAGTCATCTGTTTAAATTTGCAACTTCCCCATTGTGTTGTTGACACAGTACAGTTACTTTGGAAATCAGCTGTGCACCCACCGATATTGTACCAGGTCAGTTCAGAATGACTTTGTTGCCATTCAAAATGGGAAAACATTGTCATCCTCGTAGAGATGTTCAATGTATTGTTGAAGGCTTTCATGGCCGGAATCACTGGGTTGTTGTAGGTTTTTCCAGGCTATATGGCCATGTTCTGGAGGCAATTTTTCTCCTGACGTTTCACCTGCATCTATGGAAAGCATCCTCAGAGGTAGTGAGGTCTGTTGAAAGTAGGAAAAATGGGTTTATATATCTGTGGAATGACCAGGGTGATACAAAGGACTTTTGTCTGCTGGGGCTAGGTGTGAATGTTTCAGCTGATCACCTTGATTAGCATTCAATGGCTTGGTAGCGCCTGGGGGGAATCTTTTGTTGAGGGTGATTTCATGTGCCTGTTTGTTTCCCCTCTGTTGTTTTTCTGCTGTAATTTTTGAGTTTTTTAATACTGGTAGCCAGATTTTGTTCATTTTCATGGTTTATATCTGGTCATTCCACAGATATATAAACCCATTTTTCCTACTTCCAACAGACCTCACTACCTCTGAGGATGCTTGCCATAGATGCAGGCAAAATGTCAGGAGAAAAATTGCCTCCAGAACATGGCCATATAGCCCGGAAAAACCTACAACAACCCATTGTCATCCTCATTTATGCAGGATGGACACCTTATTTTCCAATCACTCTTCCCTGAGATCTGGTTTTTTAAAACAAAGACTTATGGCTAAAGACGTGGCTGAGTCATTTGAAAGAAGTAAATATCCATAAAATGTTGAACATAGGTGAATTGTGTGCACTCAGAGACAGAAAGACAGACAGGGTAGAGTTTCCTCTGATCATTTTATCCTCTTTTTCATCATTCTTTGTAAACTAGAAAATTAATTACCCGCAAAACAATTCTGTGCTCTAAAAAGCAGAATAGGTTTAATGTATAATTTATATATGGAAATGCAGCTGTCAAAAGTGTGACAAATGACTATATAAAAATGTTGCAGTTACATTTTCGGGTGTTAGCGTGCATTAAGTTCATCTTCAGCACAAGACAACCGTCATCCTCTTAATGTTGTTTTGCTACAAGAAACAGAGCAGCGGCATTCTTAGTGCTGTGCAAACCCCATCCCCCACTGAAACAACCAACGTAGAGATCAATCAAACTGAACAGGCCTTTATTCAGGAGCAGAGGAAAGACTGTAAAAATGCAACAATGCTGCAGAACAGCAAATACCCTTCACAATATATATTTTTAAAAATGGGGCACAGAAAATAGGATAAAATATGATAAAATATTCGGATACCAACATTAATAGGACATATGCTGAGCTCTACAATTCTTCAGTTCTTTTTTGTCTTGTCATTAAGATCTTTATTAATGCATCTTTATGTTTACAACCTTCTTATGAGTTGAATTCTAGTGGTTACTCCCAACCCGGATACCCTCATTTAATCAAGTGTTGAACAGTTACTACTTATGGAATTCCTATTAATCTAACAGAGCAGCTCTATTTGGGATTAAGAATACAATCCAAGACCTGTATATAGAATCATAGAATCATAGAATCAAAGAGTTGGAAGAGACCTCATGGGCCATCCTGTCCAACCTCCTGCCAAGAAGCAGGAATACTGCGTTCAAATCTCCCCTGACAGATGGCCATCCAGCCTCTGTTTAAAAGCTTCCATATGCTTGTTGCCCAGTTTTTCTATTGCAGTTTATAATTTCTCAGTCTCTGTTTTAGTTATGGATTTCCATTTTCCACATATTGATGAATCATCATGTTCTCAATAAAGAGGAAACATTTCTATTACAATTTTGAAGGTGGAGGAAGTTACCTTCCATCCTCACTCCAGTCCATTCCCATCCCAATATTTTAGACGTTCAGTAACTTCATCCATTTCTTTTCTAGTTTATGTACATGTTGTGTGTCTAGCATTTTAAGCAAGTAATGAGCCTATGAATGCCCCAAAATGAAGATGTTACAGTTCAGCCTGCTGAAACAGGAGACATTTGCCACAGATAACTTAATTCCCATTCTAGTGTTTTTGGATCGGAGCCACTGCATCTCATCATGCAGAGTGTTTCTAGGCCTCAATTTGAGCAGGTTAAATTCAAGACCAATTTAATCAGAAGGCTGCCTAGGACAAATCTTAACTTTCACCTCTCTGAAATTTATTTCAGACTGCTATTGATAGAGCAAACACATAATATATACAAAATTTCATAAAGAAATAAGCTGTTGTGATAATAAAAGCTGTGAAATCTTACTCTGTTGAAGTCTCACTGTTCTCTTCAGCAAGGCTTTGTCACCGTTGACTCTCTCCTCCCTCTCCTTCCATCTCCTAACCTGCTCTTCCCTCATCTTATAGAAGAGGACATGCTTCTGTTCTTCATTTAGTTCAGCCAGCAATTCCGGATCGATGTACATATCCCGTAGAATTTGCTGCAGCATGGCAAAATAGTACAGAAAGCCACTCACAGACAGGAGAGAAATTCAAAAACAAACTAAAGTTTTGTTTAAGGTGGCAAAATACTGCCTTCCGTAGTTCCAGGAACAACTAGAAGCAAAAGAGCTGGTCCTTCTTGCGACAGCCTGGGTTCTCTTTCATGCTCCGATCACTTTCCTTTAATCACCACAAAAATAATAGCTTCTCATGTCACCTTTCAACAGGTGTTCAGTAGAAAAGATGGAATAAGAGATAGGCGGCAGACCAACGGGGCGGACCACTTGAGTGATATTAAAGGCACATTAAAGACAAATTGGCCACAGAAATCAAAAGGAGTAGCTGCTGAAATACCTGGAGACAGCTCAGTGTTTATCTTTGAAACCTAATCTTGTTATGGCACGTTGTTCTCATTTTTTTTTTAGTAAGATGTATCTTCTGATGCCGTTTGAACATGTCCTTTTGCTTATTTTAAAATCTGTGCTGTCATGGTTAAAAGCAACAACTGCCCTGGTGTTATCTGTGTCATTGCAGTGACCTGTGAGAATGCGAAGAGGCAAAACACAGTTACGTATTAACTTCTGCTCTGCTTAATTTTCCCAGTTGCCAGAGCATACCGTGCCACCTGGATCTGTCCGGGGTCATGTGTTGTTTTTGCCAATAAGGATGATGCTTTGGCAGCAATGACGAAAAAGGATTTTCAAACTCCCCAAAAAGAAAAAAAAAGAAAAGAAATCCTTGAAGAGCAGTCCAAAGCTGTGGGGAGAAAATTTGAAAGGAAACTAATTAATATTAATTAAGCAAAGCCCTGTCCTTGGCAATTTAAGCAGGCAGTGTTAACCCTCCTGCCATGAATGTATTTTCCATTCTGCAGTGAGAGGAAAGAAAGGAGATTGCTTTTTAAGCAAATTGTGACCTTTTGCTGTTTACTGGCATTTTCCCTGAGCTCTATGAAATACTATTGTTAGGTCTTTAGAGTTTCTGTTAAAATAATTTATATGTTAATAATCAGCCACCCCCACCCCATTCTAAAAGTTTGAAATGTGCAAGAATTGATTTAAAACTCTAAAATCTCCAGTAGAGTTTTTATGGGAGACAAGCAATGTACCACAACATTGTGAGCAATGTTTATATCCAAATAGGGATATAAAAACTCCTGTTTTGTTGTGTTCTGAATTCCACCTGCATTTTCTTTTCATCCATGGTGGGGGGTTGGACTGGGTGTTCCTTGTGATATCTTCCATTTCTAGGATTATATTATCCTTTAGCTTTCACTGTCAAATAGTGCTGGTGCCTCAACAAACTACATTAATTCTACAACTCCCAGGAGTCTATAGCATTAAGTCATAACATTCAAAGTGGAGTCAAGTTGCATTAAGGACGTTATCTCACTGGTGTAAGAGAAGCAGGCGACAGCATTGGACAGAGTGGGGACTTACCTTACCCCAGCAAGGTCCTTCTTCAGGGATGGCCAGCTATCACACATCCTTTCCATATCTTCTTCCCACTTTCCCCCCTCTTTCTTCAATTAGGAGTCAGGTTAACATATTCATTTATTTATTTACTATATTTATACCCTGTCTTTCTCACTCCAAAGGAGACTCAGGGCAGCTTACAAACTACAACAAAAATTCAATGCCACATTGTGCACATAACAATAAACATCTTCACTGTAGAATTAAAACCTTATTCCATGGAAGTTCCCCCCTGTTTTCTCTCTGTTTTTGCATGTTGGCAAGATGGATTTCCACAGATGGCCACTGGACGTGACCGTGCATCATGGACTGGCCTCTATGGGACTCTGTTTTGTCAGCATGCAAAAACAGAGAGAAAACGGGGGAAACTTCCATGGAATAAGGTCCTAATTCTACAGTTAAGATGTACCTTAGGATTCTGAGACCACTGTTTGAATCTCTACTCAGTCCTGGAAACCCACTGGGGGCACCTATATACTGACTACTTAGGTCAGATGGGTTTCAATTCAGCTCTGTGGCAGCCAAATACCAGGCAAAACTGATCTGAGGTAATGCAGGGCAAAGCCACCTTAACACAGCCTTGCCCCCACATTCACCAAAGTCAAATTCTAATCTAGAATTTAGGCTATCACCCAACTTTTGGGTCTTCTCAACTGTTGGATCCTAGATTGGAACTGACCACAACTATCCTCACTGACATTCTATATTTCCTGAGTTCAGGTGGCCTGAGAACATGGAACGGCAGTTATCATCTTCTCCACCCTCAGTCTCTAGTCATGACACAGGTCCTACCTATCAGCTATCACCTGCAGTGGTGTCAGCTGGGGTGACAGGCTGAATGGGAGGGTGAGATAGGAACAAGGGATTCCTCCTGTCTCACCTCCCTCATGGCCCTGTCACCCCCACTCACACTCCAATGTCACTACAGGTTACAGCCAACAGGTAGAACTTGTGTCATGACAATCAGGTTGTAAGAGTGACCATCCAGTGTCACTGAACCACATTTAGCACCCATGAGCATTGGAATGCCCTCCCACCTTTGAAGCACCTGGGGTGGGGGGGGGGGTGACTGCCTGACCCATACTTGGGGCAGCCTCAACATAAACCATGCTGGATTAGCCCCACTTTATGAGCCCCTGGGTAACCTTGAACAAGTCACATTCACTCAGAGGAAAACCAGGCAAGCCCCCCAAATTAACTCTTGTTAAGAAAACCCTGTGAAAGATTTGCCTTAGGGCCCTTCTACACTGCCATATAATCCAGAATATCAAGGCAGATAATCTAGATTATTTTATTTGTACTGGATTATCTGAGGCTACACCGCCATATAATCAACTTCAAAGCAAATAATCTGGAATGTATTTATCTCTGTAGAAGGGGCCTTAGAGGCAACATAAGTTATTGACTTCCAGGCACACAGCAGCAGAAACATTTAAAATATAGGTGTATAATTTTGTACACACTATATTTTTCTAAAATGCCCACCAGCCTTGAAAATGGATTTGTTACTGTTCTTGCAGCTGGTTTCAAGAGCTGTAAAAAGGCTACTTTCATCAAAACTAGCACATCAAATGAGCCAGTCAGTGGATCCATTGTTATACAGATGGCAAGATTTTAGTTTTATAGCTGCTTGTCTCACACCTGTTCTGAATCTCCCTGTGCCAAAATTCATTTGCAAATTGGATCCATCACCCAGAAGTGCCTTGTATAACCCATAGAGCTCTTATAAGTGTTCCAGGCATAAGGCTGGGGATAGATGTGCAATTCCTGCTGCAAAGGATCCATTGCTAACCTTAAAATCAAATAACATCAACCACTATTTTCGAGATCTTCATAAATCTTCTAAAAGCTAGATGCTGCCAAAGACTAGCGGTGTATGAAAAAAAGCAAGAAGCAATTATTTAACTTCACTTGTGGTTCCCAACCATTGCTTCTCCATAATTTTTGGACTCCTCTCCCAGAATTCCTCACTATCAGTCGAGTTCTGAGGATTACCTGGGAAGGAATCCCATTGGAGCATTGCAGCGCATCCAAATACCTGGGAGTCACTCTGGACCGTGCTCTGACCTACAAGAAGGCACTGATTTAATATCAAGAAAAAAGTGGGTACTAGAAATAATATCATTTGAAAGTTGACTGGCACAACCTGGGGATCACAATCAGACATAGTGAAGAAATCTGCCCTTGCACTTTGCTACTCTGCTGCTGAGTATGCATGCCCAGTGTGGAACACATCTCACCAAACTAAAACAGTGGATGTGGCTCTTAATGAGACATGCCGCATTATCACAGGGTGTCTGCGCCCTACACCACTGGAGAAATTACACTGCTTAGCCGGTATTGCACCACCTGACATCCGCCGGGAAGTAGCAGCCAATAGTGAAAGGACCAAGGCAGTGACATCTCCAGCTCATCCCTTATTTGGGTATCAGCCAGCACATCAATGACTTAAATCAAGAAATAGTTTTCTTAGATCTACAGAGACACTCGCTGGAACACCTCAGCAAGTGAGAGTTCAAAAGTGGCAGGCTCAAACCCAGCACCTCAATCCGTGGGTGATACCAGATGAGAGACTCCCCCCTGGGCACACAGAAGACTGGGCGACTTGGAAGGCGCTGAACAGACTGCGCTCTGGCACCACGAGATGCAGAGCCAATATTAAGAAATGGGGCTACAAAGTGGAATCCACGACATGCGAGTGTGGAGAAGAGCAAACCACTGACCACCTGCTGCAATGCAACCTGAGCCCTGCCACATGCACAATGGAGGACCTTCTTGCGGCAACACCAGAGGCACTCCAAGTGGCCAGATACTGGTCAAAGGACATTTAATCAGCTACCAAGTTTGCAAAATTTGTGTTTGTTTTTTTTATCTGTTTGTTTGTTTTGTTCTGTTAGAAATGCACAATGGTCTGCTTGCTGATGACACAATAAATAAATAAAATAAGTCAAGCTGGTTGGGGCTGAACTCAAAAACACCTAATGTTGAGAACCACTGCTCTAGACTGATTGACAAAACAAAAATTTGTCTCGATTGGATGGGCTAAATGCAGAACTGGAGCTTCACATGGACCTTCAAGGATGATAAATTCAGGATCCCCAGAACAGCTTTTTATCTGATAGGCCTGGGCGGTTTCGTTCGTTAATTTTGTAATTCGTTAAATATTCGTTATTTTTAGCAATTACAAAACGATTACAAAACTTATTTTCAAACCCGGAAGTGTTTTTAAATATCGAAACGGCATCCTCCATCTTTTTTACGAGCTTCCGCCCGTTTCGGAAATGACGTTTTAGGGATGGAGGATGCTGGGTGCGCCGGGAGCCAATCCGGCGCTCCCAAGCACCGTGGCTCATTGTGATTGGGCGGGCTGCCCTTTAAAAGCGGCTCCGCGTGGCCGCATTGCTCATTGCTGGGGAAGGCGAGGAGACGGGAGGTTCGGGAGGGAGGCTTGGCTTGCTTCGCTTGCATTCATTTATTGCTTGCATTCATTCCCTGGGCTGGGAGCAGCTGGGAGGCTTTGCCCTGTTTTCGCCCTATTTCTTTTATTCTTCAAAAAATTCAAAAAATATTCTAAAAAAAGAAAAGAAACTTGTGTGTCTGTGTGTGCGTTTGTCCCTGTCCTGCGGCTGTGTTCGCTCCACAACAGGGCAAGCCTTTTGTTAATTTTCCATTTTTAAATATTTCTGAAAAATATATTTCTTTTATTCTTCAAAAAATTCAAAAAATATTCTAAAAAAAGAAAAGAAACTTGTGTGCCTGTGTGTGCATTTGTCCCTGTCCTGTGGCTGTGTTCGCTCCACAACAGGGCAAGCCTTTTGTTAATTTTCCATTTTTAAATATTTCTGAAAAATATATTTCTTTTATTCTTCAAAAAATTCAAAAAATATTCTAAAAAAAGAAAAGAAACTTGTGTGCCTGTGTGTGCGTTTGTCCCTGTCCTGTGGCTGTGTTCGCTCCACAACAGGGCAAGTTTGTTAATTTTCCATTTTTAAATATTTCTGAAAAATATATTTCTTTTATTCTTCAAAAATTCAAAAAATATTCTAAAAA